AGACATGAAGTTGGCTCTCCAAGTTGAATTCTAGGCCATTCCATGGTGAACCTCGTGATCAAATTTTTGGCCAGACCTACATAATCTTATTTTTCAGGTCCTATTACTTCTAAATCACACTATGATCTGAAGATTACACAGGTTCCTGGTACATCACACAAAGAATCCAAATCCAAGACTTAATGCTACTTATGGAATGTTTTGCATAAAGTTTCCTATCCATTCTGGTAAAGTTGCTTTTGCTAACCACTTAAACTTCCAAGTTGCTACATCAGATCAAGAACAAATTTCCATGCTCAGAAGAAACATCTAGATCAGAAAAGCAAACTACGTCACTTAAATCACTCCAATGCTTAATCATGATCAATGGTACTTTCTTGTGCAAATCCAACCAAATCCTCCAAACCACAATTCCAAGTTAACTAAAGCTAATGTATGTAAGCCTCTTGAATCCTCTATAGAGGATCACACCTCAGAACCAAACACATTGAAAACACTTGATCATACCAGAATTTACAAAGAGCATACCGTTGGAGTCAAAAACATCCACTTTCGCAAACTTGTTCAAAACCTCCCATAAGCACAAAAACCTCAAATCACCCATCCACACACCTCACAAAAAACACAAAAAAGCTGTTTAAACCATCATCTTCACCTTCCAAAAGTAAACCTTCAACACCAAGTTTTTTGACTTATTTGCACAAAACTCCCTAACACTACATCTAAGCTCTTTCCAATCCATTCAAGCTCTCAAACATCGTCCATAGGCATTGTATAAGCTGTCAAAAAATATCATTTCACAACTGTAAAAACATTCTCACAAAGATTAAATCCACACTTGGCCATTTTGAAAGAGGGATTGTACTAAGATATTGAAGTTGTTCCAATCCATCCTAAGCATTCTAAAAGCATCTGAAGGGATCAGGGGAGCTTCTTGAATCATCACATATCTTCTGTAAGCAGCAAAAAGGGCATTGGACCTTGCTTCCAATAGGTAAGTTTATGATTTCTTCAACTATGTGATACATGTATTATCTCCATACGTTTGAGTTACATAATCATTTGCCCTGATGTAGAGAATGTAAACTACATGCTAATTGTTTCTGATAAGTGTTATGTGTGATTTCATTTCTGATTTTTCATTCTAGGGTTTATTATGGTTTTAGTTTGATCATTTGAGATGCGTTGAAAATTAATAAAATTAGGTTGTACCACTAAAATACTTGTCAAAAACCAAGTAACTTTCCTTTTTACATCATCTAAAATGGTTGAATATTAAGGAAGATAGCAAGCTCAGAATTGTTGATCATGGTGGACACGATGGTAGAGGAAGGGGATGATCTGGGTTGGCGCGAATTTCTTTTTTAAAATGATGTTTTATTACATTATTGATTGTTTGTGTTTTGTGTAATGAATGGGCATTGCGCCATAGTGGTTAAGGTGTGTGTTTGTGTGTTTGGCATGCATGAGGGCTGGGGTTCGAATCCCCCTCACCCCAGCCCTTTTGTGATATTTTTATTTTCAGGATTTTCATGTTGACTTAAAATCTAATATGATGCATGCATATTGTTGTCAAGCCAAAGCAATTGGCCCAGTGGCCAGACTTTTAAGCAGCGACCACATGACCTGAGTTCAAATCCCATATGTGGCAAAACATTATTTTTATTACTTGTCATGTTTTTTTTAATGATTTTTCCCATTTTTCTTTTAACCATATCTCACTTTCTATTTATTATTTTGGATTGATTTTTTGCACGCCTCTCATTTATTATGTGTATTTTGTGACCATGTGAAAAAATCCCAAAAATATTATTTATTTTACCTATTTTTATTGTGCTGAAATCATGTCCCTTTTATGTGTTTCTTTAGGACTTTTCATGCTTAATTTTGAATTGTTTCTTAAACCAATTGGTCTATAATTGTTCATGTACTTATTCCATGCCATGTCAAGTTTTGCATCATGTTTAAAGTGTGTTCATATTTGTTTAAATGTTGGCATTAGTAACATGTACACAAATGTTTTAAGCATGCTTATGTCTCCTAATTTTAGGGTTAATTTTATGCTTACCATGACTTTGTCTCTCATATTGCATGCATGATGATTCCCTCTTAGGGTTAGGTAGTAGCTTTGCTTTCAACATGTTCACATGACCTTTGTCTCTCATATTTATGCTTGTATACCATGACTTGTGTCTTGTGATGTTTCTTTCCACAAGTATTTCTTTCACAAACTTCTATTTGTTAAGCATATTTCTTATCTTGTGTTTATCCATGACATGTTCTCTTGTGATGTTATGTGAACCTTTGTTATGTCTTATGAATGTTCATCATGTTTACACTCATGTTAATGTTTTGTTCACCATGCTTTAATGCTTAAAATCATGTTGTTATTTTGTTTAATTCAATACATGCTTATATGATAATTGTTATGCATTTTCAAGGGAATGGCTTATTGTTGACATTCTTGTTATTTGCATTTGCATTTGCATCTTTACATCTACTTGTATATATCTCCCTTTGTAATCCTGGAACTTGCTATCCCTTAGGAAGTCTCCCTTAGGATTACCTTTCGACTTAGATATCTTCAATTAGGGTTTCCCCTTTACAACTCAAAACCACATTTTAATAAAAAAACTTGACTCTTGGTCAATGATCTTTTTCAAGTTATTTTCTTAGAAAATGCTTCAAAACACCTTAAGCATATTCAAACTTCTTCCACAAAGACAAAAACACAAACTCAATCCAAACCTTTTGCCACTTTGGCTTTTCAACTTTAAAACCTTTTCAAATATACTAGACATTAGTCCTCCTTAGTTGAGATGTAAAACTCCAACTCCATAACATGGTGAGAAAGATGATTGATTCTTTTCCACTTGAGGGAGGTGTGTGGCATACTTCTTGATTGCAATCCAAGTTGAAGCCCTTCTCTCAATATGTAGCAAAGATCCTTTTCCACATGTTTGTGGAGGTCTAGACGAGTATTCTCCTTAGGATGACAACTTGTCTCTTCTTCAATTAAAATCAACCTTAAAAACCCTCTTTTCAATTTCTACCCCAAACTACAAGGTTTTGATCCTTTATTGGTACGTTGGCACAAGACTTTGCGTCTTGCCAAACACGAAAATAATACTAAAAACATTTCTCTTCTCATCTCCCCAATCAATCCCAAATAGCAAACAAACCTATAACACAAATTCAACAAGAGGTTGCTATAGAGTACTAAGATACTTAGGGTACTAATACCTTCCATTAGTATAACCAACCCCCGAACTTTAGATTCTCTTATTTGCTTTGTTTTGCATTGAAATTTATGGGTTATTCTTTCTTTACCCCTTCCTTAGATAAATTAAACATCGGTGGAGATATCTTAAGATTTATGAAGCCTAGCTAACTCAATAGCTATGGTCTCCGATTCGCACCACGACAAATTGATGCAGTATGTTAAACATACATGTATATGAACTAACTGGACAATGCACTTAACAAAATTATATTTTCATTTTCTATGAGATTTTAGAAATTTTTATATTACTGACATATATAATTTCTATTTTACATATAGAACGATTGCGGTCAAGCAGATGTTTGGTCTGAGAAATGTCTACCATTGGCTACTATGCACTTGAGGTTTCCAAGGGCATATATTGTTTCCAAGAGGCTAGAGATTAATTAGGCACTTGCTATGGTTAGTTTTGAATTTTAAAAAAGAATCCATCGGTATGTCCATGTTCTCAATGAATAAGTTATAGCATTGCAGTATGACAGATAAACTCGCGTTTGACTTGTAAAATTTTTATTTTATCATCTATCTTATGACTCCATATATTTGAAGTAATTAATTTGATGTACATGTTGCATTGTAATGGTAGCCTAGGATGGTTCTGCTTATATTTTTCATTCTTAACATCCTTTGGTTGCATAACATTGTGGTTGTTCTAAAAATGCTTATTGTTTTTTCCAATCTTAGTTGTTTGGGTGGTAGGTATGGGAATGCATTTGATGTTGTGGGCTAGATGTTATTGCAGTCAATGATCTCAACTGTTGATAAAAATTGGATACTTTGAGGTTTCAAGTTATCGATTTGATGACGCGAGTCCTTGAATTGGAATCTTTATCCAACAACTTAGATTGGCTCAATACAGTGAATCTAAGTCAAGTTAGATTAACTCTTGGCTTGACATGAATGTAAACTTTTAAACATTAGCTCTAGAGTTGTAATTTTGTAGTAAGCATTAATAGTTTATCATTATAAACTTTTCAATCACATAATTTATTTGCTCATTTAGAGGTAGAGATGTGGGAATGTCATGTCGGCTACTGTGCGATGTAATTGTATGTAAGAATCTAACATTAGGAAATGATTTTGATTCCATCAAATAGTTTGAATATTTATTCATTCCTTAGTAGAACGCCTCTTATAAATTTTTATATAATACAACTATTTTTTCATTTTACAGGCCAAATCATTGAGTTCACTTTGAAGATTGATGTTTAAAATTTAAACTTTTAAAACATGATAACAATTTGTTAAAATAGATGCTATATTTTCATTTATTTGTTTCTTCTTATTTTGGATCATTGATATCCTTTGTCCAAATTTAAATATATTTTGTGTAACTATATTGCAAATTTATTGTTGAAAAATTTGCATATTATAATTTTTCATTATACATTCTCCATCTAGATTAGTTTTTTTTACAAGCATATCTCAATATATTTTTTTGCAATACAAAAATAAATCTACTTCTACGGCAGCATGTGTATTTTACTAGTATTTCAATAAAAAATAAAAAATCCTAGAAATTTCCTAAACCTTGTGTTGACCAGTCTCTGCTCTCTCCTCTCTAAACTCACTGTGCAGCTATCTCTTTAACACAAAACCTCCTTCGCCGCCGTTAGCTGCACCACCACCTCCTTCCGCTGCGCCACCTACTACCATGTTCAGCAACTACCGCTCATCCCTCTCTCTCATCGCATTGTGTCTCTCTCTGTCAATCACCATGTCTTCCTCTTCCGGTGATGAATCTGAGCATGCTTCTGCCAAGGTTGATAGCCCCATCAAGTCACCCTTCTCTTCTAATAAACTAGAGTTTCACCCAAACCGTGTTGTCACTAAAATCAAAAAGAAAGTTTCCTTTGTGCTAGAGATAGAGAAAGATCAATACACCATATGGATTGAACTATTTGAAGTTCACGCTTGTGCTCAAAAAGTGGTCCATCACATCATTTGTAACCAAGAAAAGAAAATTTTGCCTCCATTGATGTTGATTTTGAAATGTGGACAACCCTTGACTCCACAATGCATTAACAGATTTATTTCACCATCTCTCTTGATCTCCTTACCACTATTTTGGAAAAGGGATCCACCGCCTTGGCTTCTTGAAAGCGTTTAGCTAAAAAAATTAAGGGCAACCAGAACTAGTGTATCGTTGCTCTTGAGTGTCGCACCTCGAAAAATCAAATATAGAAAATTTGAACATACGACCCTCGCGCTAAAGGCACAGAATGCACTTCGACAGAGTCACCATCAAACTTTATTTATCCTAAAGAGATGGGAAAGGAAAATATCGATAAAACCTTTTAAAAGAAAGGACAGGAACACGATCATTGCAACCAATGTTTTGGGTTCGGGAGTGAGTTACACAAGGGGAAGGTATTATCACCCCTCACGTCCGTTGTACTCAACGGGAACCTCTTAGTACGATTTGCGAAGGGCATTATCTAATCTTGCTTATTTTCTTCTTAGTGATAAATGCGAAACAATATGGTAAAAGGAAAAAGATGCTAGGGGAAAATGGGTGGTTATAGGATAGGGTGCTCGCCAAAGATTGGGGCAATTGTGTCTACGTATTCTCATTCAGACGAGAATGAGAAATCAGAGCTTAGTAGTTCGACTACGAGAAAGGGTAGGGTAAAACGGAAGATGGAGGGCAGGTAGCTCGCCAAGATCACCGCAATCTTGTGCCTACGTATCTTACATTCAGACGAGAATGAAGAATCAGAGCGTCCGTAGTTCATGGAGATGACCACAAAAAGAGAAGGGTTTAATTGAGCTTAAAGTTTGGTTAAGTTTGGTTGAGAAACGAAAGATTGACTGATGAACAACCCAATGGGCGTGCCTCGAGAGCTGTCACTCAAGAATCCAAGAAATGCGAGATTCCAAGAACTCAGTTCTTACGGAAGTTGATTGAAAATGTTTTGAGGAAAGGTTAAACGTTTTGGATTCGGAAGATTGAATGAACAACAACTCAAGGGGCGTGCCTCTAGATCCATTCATTCAAAGATTCAAGGAATGCTAGACTCCAAGAATCTTTTTCTTTCGTAAGTTTGATTACGAAAATGTTAAATAGAGATTAGATGTTTTGAGACAAAAGGTTGAATGAACGACCACGAAAAGTATGCGCCTCAAGAGCCATTCATTCGAAGGTCCAAGGAATGCGAGACTCCAAGAATCTTCTTCTTTCGTTATTTGTTAAGAAAAAGCGCTTGAAAAAAGATAGAATCGAATACGTTACGAAAATAGGTGGACTGCAAGGCAAAAGACACTCGACTTATAACTTGGTTAAAATACCACTTGATGTTGGATCAAAGGTTTGATTTTATATACGTGCAAAGACGTGTACTGGTTGAAAGAAGTTGATTTGGAAATGGTTCGACGACGAGTCGAGGGTTTACTTGAAAATGGACCCGGCTTGACGACGAATCAAGGGTTAGGTTGTGAGAAAATATACTAGTCCCTGAGGGTGCTCCTAATAATGAAACCACGATGAAATGTGAAAGTTTATAGGGTAGGTTGATGGCGAATGCGTATGAGCACTCGACTTACAGAGGGTGTTTGAAAATGGTTCGATGACGAATCGAGAATTAGTTTGAAAACGGTTTAGTCTATGCTAGTCCCTATGAGTGCTCCTAGAAGATAAACCACAATCAAAGAAATAGGAATGCGTGCATCAAAATGGGAAAGGGATACATGTAAGTTACACGGGATTGCATGAAATAAAAGGTCTCGTTGTAAGGTAGCCCAAGAAAAAGCCGTGTGTGTGTGTGTGTCCGAAGTGTCCTAAACTATGCCTTAAACAAAAGTCGGACAAAATCTCCAAGCTAGGGTTTCTAATACAATCCAAATTTCGTAGACCAGAAAAGTAACCAACAGTCCAAATCCCGTTGACCAGAAAAGTAACCAACAGTCCACCAATTTAGGCTTTTAGGTTTCGATAATTTATTATGTGTTTTGGAGAGAATGAACAAGATATAAATAATATGAATATGAATAATGTGAATAATATGACAAGATATATAACAATATAATCAAGATAACATTCACAATAGTATAATTAAGATGATAGTAACAAGTATATGAATAAGATAATAAAATCAAGATATATTAACTGAAAATAAAATATGAGTATATTGACTGAAAGTAAAACAAGAATATATTGACAAAAAGTAAAGTTAGTTGTTTGTTGATTTGGATTGAATCAGAACGAAATGTAGCGGTAAACAGTTATAGCTCGATCTATGACGAAGTTCAAACTATAGGAGGCCGCGCAAGTTGATATCCGTTCTAGAAAACACGATGGAGAAATGATATTGAGGATAATTTTCCAATGTGATCGTGTCACACAAGCTGAAAAGCGGATGATCTCGTCTTAATCACAAATTCTTGTTAATTAATCGAAGGTAACCTATCACGATCCCAAAGTATAGAAAATGACCTCAATGTTCATTTTCTACAGATTTGAAATAATGAAGGTTAACAACCTCAATAAATCAACATTCGCGAACAGGAAGACTTTATCGAGCGAAAATGAAATTGAAAATGGAATTAAGGTAGGAATGAAAAGAATAAATCAAAGAATAAAGGCCATAAAAAATTGATTGAAAGAAAGTTTAAGCAACTAAAATGATATTTTAACAAAATCTCTAATGAACAAATTTTTTAATGAAAATACTAATAATGACTAATAAAATAAAATAAAAAACGTTATTAACAAAGCATTAATTAAAGTAATTAACATAAATGCCCACAAAATTATTTACCCAAAATAATTAGCAATAGGTTATCAAACATTAAAGCAGAATTATCAAATAAAAACTCAAAAACAAACACTAATTAAACCAACTAGTTAAGATGGGGGAGTAAGATCAGATCCAAGGGTGTATTAAATCCAAAATGGAATCATGCGGGCTGAAGAGCCCATCATCCATAAACATTAAAAAACACGGTCAAAAAAAATATGAAATGACATGGTCAACATATACAGGCTCATAGGGCTCAATACTCAAACATTATTGTTGCGGTGAGAATCGTGATATAAAGCTATTAATTAACTTGAATCTTAATTCATTAAATTCACAACCGGAATTTGATTTATCCAAAGGAAAGGTTAAAGAAAGAAAAACCCTTTTGCGTAATGTAACAACAACACTAAGAGATTCGAGGATCGGGGGTTGGTTATGCTTAGGGTAGGTATTTCACATCCTAGACATATGTAGTACTTTACAGGAACCTTTTGTATGTTTGTATTCTAATACTTGCTAAATGTTTGCTATGGTTTGGGATATTGTATAAGGTAAAGTTATAGGTAAAGACCTAGGGATAGTTTCTAAGTTTGCTCACAAAGATATCGCATCCTCTGCCTACATATCCTAACTAGGATAGAATCAGAACAATCATAGTTCACCTCACTGAGGATGAAGAACTCTTGATTATGATTAAGGTTCAAAGGGGAACAAACATAACAATGCTTGTGTAGAGTTTAACAAAACTCTCTATTCTAAGTTATACACTCAAAGGAATTGACTTTTACAAAATTCAAAAGGGGAGTAAGTAATCATGACAATGATTCTTACATAGAGTTAACAAACTCTATCTTAAAGTTCTTATTGAAATATCTTCCTAACAAGGGGTAGGTCGTTTTGATTTAAAGAAAATTCTAATGGCTAATAGGGTTCTAACTTAACTAAGTTATAGTTCAAAGTGACTTAACAAAGCCAGAGGGAGGGTAATTACCTATCTATGACCCAAGGGTCAATAGAGAGATTTTCCTTTGGAATAGGAAAGGATGAGGCAACTGGATGAGAGCTAACAAGCTACATCACTTGGGGAAATAAATTAACAAATCTAAAATCATACATAAGCATTCAGTCAAACATGATGAACATATAAAAGAGCATGGTGACAACCAAGAAGAGATATGCAAGCATGTAACAACATCAAGCAAAGATTACAATCAAATCAAATGGTTACAGCCAATAATGTAAAAAGATATTACAATATCTAGAAGGACATAATGATAGAGGTTCTTATAAGATCAAGCATACAAGATAGAGACAACTTGAAGTATCTTGACAAAGATGAAGAGAAATGAGGTAACAACAATCAAGGCAAACAAAAACGTGTAATTCAAACAAGTTTAAATGCAAGCAAGTTACAACTTGAGGCAAACATGTCATATAGTTCAAAGAATGTCAAATGTACAAACATAAGACCAACATTGATGACAATCAAGTACAAGTAAGCATACAAGAAGTGTTACAATAGTTCAAGTAAGAAGTTCAAAGTTTCATGGGGAATCATACAAGTTCAAAGGTAAATTTCAAAGCAAGAATCAATCCTAAGGATGTTATGGTTTTAAAAAGACATCATAACAAGTAAGGTATGGACATGGGATCATGTTCAAGAGGTTACAACATCAAGGAACACACAAAGATAAAGATCAAGCACATGAGTTACAACTTGAACCAAACATAAGACATGAATCAAGTAAGACTAAATGTGACAAGATTCAACATGATGAAGGCATGAAGCATGGTAACAACCAAAAGATATTAAGATAATCATGTGACAACATGAAAGGGAAAAGAGATGACAATCAACAATGTAAAGATGCGAAGTGTAAAACAACATCTAAGTATAGGTTCATGGTTTTATAGAAGAAGCAATGTTCATGGTAACAACCAAGACAAAAAAAAATCCTAGCATGTTATGGTTCTAACAAGACACATAAAAATATTGAAAGAAGCATGACAAACATATTCAAGAGGTTACAACATCCAAAATTATGGTAAAGTTCATAGATGGAGTTTGAAAAGCCATGATTCATGTATACATTCACAAAAGCAAGTATGAACATGGTATGAAAATGAATCAAACAAAATTGAGCATTTAAAAATGTTTAAAAAAAACATGTGTGAATCATCCAAGATCAACATCACAAGAAAAATCAAGTTTCAAGATGAAAAGTTTACAAATACCAAGGTAAAATCCCTAAAAAGACATGCTTTTCAAGTGGATCAAAGTCTTTCTAGGATAACAATCCTTGAATTATTTATTCACTCATGAAACTAGTTAGTTTGTAAAAATAATGGCATCAATAGCATAAAAAATAAA